CGTCGGCTATCTCGGCCGCCATCGTTAATCGGGCCCCGGAATTTCTCGCGTTGACGGCCCTCGCTGGCGTCGGCGGTGCTGCCGTAAACGCAACCAGATCAGAAGGACAATTGAACCGTCGCTTTATTGAGCGGATAAAAGCGACTTGGGGTCAGAAACGGAAATAGACTGAGGAAATTCTTGCAAGCGGCGACGGCTCTTCATTGGACATCGTAATCCCGCCTTGTGCCTTCCCTTTTGCATCGAACGAGGAATTTTAATTGAATTTTAATTGAAATATTTTAATCGAAACGGAGATTTTTTAACGAGTACAGTGAGAAGCAAACGTGGATATTTGCGGGTTGCTCTTGTAAAATGAAGAAAAATTGAAAGAAGTGAAACTAAGAAAAAGTTTTATCTTTCAAACATAGCCTTCAGAAGAGATGACAACAATGAGAGGAAGTATGTGGCGAGGAGCGAGTTAAAAATGCTGATACAACACGTTTTTTACCTGACGATTATATCCATCGATTTTAACCACTTCTGGACATTAACGGAAGAATTATTTATTATATTTTTGCCGATCATCGCGAGTGAAATAAAAAAGAAAGACGTTCTATTTCTCTTCGGTATTATGGATGCCTACATTTCCGAGGAGCTTGCAGAATTTTCACCACAGTATGTGTCCTATTTGTGAAAAAAGAAATACAATTTAATAAACAAGATATATTTTCTGAAAACTGAGCTCGCGGCAGCTTATTATCTCAGAAACTGAGCGACTGAAAACGTATAGATTTAAACTCGTATAGACTCGCTAAGATCTTTTTACTCAACTTTTTTTTTTGTATTAGGTTGGTGCAAAAATAACTGCGGCTTTTATGTGTCGAGTATAAAGACACATATATCAGTTAAAAATTACATTTGTTGATCAAAATAAAGACCATCGGCCTGCACACATTTCTCCCAACGGAAGACAAATTTGTTTATTCCTACAAGACAGAATTCTGGAGAAGATAACGGTAACTAGAAAAATCGGCGCCAAACTTAAAATAATATGAAAACCTTAAAATAGTAAAATAAAAAGAAATAATAAAACAATAAAGTAATAAAAAGAAATAATAAAAAATGGATTTTGCACCAACCTAACGATTCTTTTTTTTTTAATTCCTCTATACAATTACAATCTATCTCATTATGGACATTTAGTAGTAATTAACAGAATTTATCCTGTGAGTTTGTCGACGGTGAGTCCAGATACACCCTGTCGGCCGGCGAAGCGGTTGCAAGTGAGAATAAACAAGCCAACAAGAGGCCCGGATCGCTGAACGGGCGATTCAAATCTCAAGGCGAGAGGCGATCATATTTTCTCATCCGACACGGTGAAGCGTACGTGCCGGAAGTCTGGGGAATATCGGCTAAGATTTAAATTATCGCGCCCGCGGCGCCCAACGATGGTTCTCATTAGAGCATCATTCTTTGCCGCTGCTTTATCACCGGAGGCTCCGGTATCTCGCCAAGCTCACAGCACTTCGGAATAGAATCGAGAGAACAATCGCACCCACGATGTTTATCTCGGGCGAAGCCCTTGCGAGTGGAAAGTGTTGGCTCGACCTTTTAGTCCCGGTGCCTCCGTCTCCACATAATTGATCTCGTTTTAAAGTCGCCGCTTGCTGGGCGCATCGAGACTCTTCGGAAAGTGAAATGCTCCTTTTGTCCGGCTCGTGTAAGCCCATAACGATCCGCTGTTGGCTCTGTACACCGGCGCCTTAACGCGCTCCGCCAGAGATTTTAGCCGGAGCCGAGCCGTAAGAAAAAAGCCACAGAAAAAAGGGGGCCGAGGGGCCAAGAATGCGTGTGTGTTACCGGCCGCACGAGAGCTTAGAACGAGGAAGTGGTTCCAGCAGGATATTTGGCGGTTTTGCTTTTCTCTTTCCTTCTTCTTCTTCTTCTTCTTCTTCTTCTTCTTCTTTTTTTTTTAGCACTCGCATTCCAGGCGAGTCTAACAACCACAGACCCAAAAGGGTCCGAGTAACCTTGCCGACTTCCTCGAAGCGGGTCTTTCCTCGTCAGGACTCTCGCGCCAAGGCCCAACATGCTTGGCCACACAGGCTAATTCTGAGGGGACCGTGTTCCTCTTCAGAAGAAATGTCCAGCTCCCAGTGCTATTATCTCTTGCCTACGGTTTTGCCCGAGCGATTTGGCACAATCTAGGCCGCTCATCGTCCCTTTCGTCGCTAAAAGCTACATGACTTTTCTCTAACGGAAGTCCTCAAGGACTCGCTTCAGATCGCTCGATTCAACGACTTTTCTGTTTGCTCTATGGAAAGTCATAAACGAAGAAAGGAGCCGCTGCTAATGCAGCCAACGATGATGAAAAGGTAACAACTTCTTTTCTATTTTGACAGCAGGGAAAATTCGTCTTTCTCACGACATTTTCGTCTGTCCCAGGGGACTGACTGAAAAGAAAGGTGTCGCAACTTTGTTGGCGCCACTTTGTATGGGGATTCTTAAAGTGTCCCCACCATTGACGATAGTTGGCTCCTTTTCTCGCCGAGAGAGAATCATCGTCCGTCCGTGTCCATATCCATATCTACAATTGCAGATTGAGACCCACCGTTTCTTCAACGATGACAGAACCGCGACATTCAGCGCGAGTACTTAACACATGTCCGCCGGATTGTTGGCCATCTGCCGCTGCGACAGCGACCTGCTCGCAGAAGCACCGTCCGCAGAAATAACGCGGCATTTCGTGGCGAGATATAGATGGTTTCCTTCTTTCTTTATTTCCCTCTGGTTTCCTTATTTCGTAACTAGCGCGCCGGGCGTCTATCTGACCACGGCCTTCGAGCTGCTCCCTTATCGCAGTCCTCGGTATTCAGCCTCGTGTAATCGGTATCTTTGTCAGCGATTTTAAAACAAACACGACCGAGAGAGAGACAGACAGACAGAGAGAGAGAGAGAGAGAGAGAGAGAGAGAGAGAGAGAGAGAGAGAGAGAGAGAGAGAAAGAGAGAGAGAGAAAGAAAGAGAGGGAGAGAGAGCTTGGCCCCGCTTCGGTCGAGCGGCACGCAACTCTTTATCTAGTGTAAACTTTGATTCTCTTTGTCGCCGAGAGCGGAGCGAGCGGCCGATTGCAAAACTTCCTCTCTCGAAATAGACACCCGCGGTCTTTCCGGTTTCAACTCGGCTCTCTGCGGCTGTACGTCGCGCCGCTGCGACTCTCGGCGCGTTATATTAGCGTCTTATTCTAAGCTTCTTCGTTTTTACCTCAGGTACACGTTGACACGCAGAAGAAAGAGAGAGAGAGAGAGAGAGAGAGAGAGAGAGAGAGAGAGAGAGAGAGCGAGAGAGAGAGGGAGGGAGGGAGGGAGGACTTTCTCTCCCGCAACCACCTTGTGTCACTCTTCAGCTCTCCTCTTCTCATCCCCCTTGTCCGTCGCCGAAGGTTCGCCAACCGGCCGTCCGCTCGCTCTCTTCTCTGCTTTCTCCCTTTCTCTTCTTCTGCTTCGCGCTCCTCGGTCTCCCTCGCCCCTTAGCGCGATGTTTCTTCCTTTTTCTTTCTTCCTTTTTCCCGCCGTCAGCCTCTCCGTCGCTCGCCCTCGCGCGGGAGCGATGCTTAATTCAAGCCTCCTCCGCACCGCTGTTTATTTGCGCGTTTTAACTGGAAAGTCCTCCGCTATGTACAATACCGCGAACGACCCTCCAAGAGTATTCCGGGAGGCCCCACTGGAAATATTCGGGACGCAATCGCGCGAGCCCGCGCGTGTATTTCGTGCGTGCGTCGTAAGTGGATAATCTGTTGTGCGTGTTGATGACGGGCTGCGCCATTTCTCTTGGTCCTTTTATTCCCTCTCTTTCTTTACCGAAGAATAACATTGCATTGCATTATAAGGTAAATTTTGGTCCGCGCTGATGATTCAGGGTATCGCCAAATCTCGCTCTCAACGCTCTTTGAAACTTTGGTAATTTGGTATTCGGGAATATGTAGTAACGCAAGGACCAATCGATGAGAGTAGGTTAGGGATATCGCTTACACAGGTAAATATTACGGCAACTTCGGGAAGAAATATAGAAAGTAAATCTCACGGTTAATGGTAGGCCGAAAATGCCAGAGAAGGTAACATTGAAGCTAGCTCGAGATAACATTGAAACTACCAGCGATTAACGACCTATCTTTATCAGAGTTATCAAAATGATAAGTTTGTGAAAAAAAGATTATTTAATTCGAGGAGAGACATACATTTATTTGTTCCTCTTAGTTTTATTCAACGTTAATAAGATAAAAATCCGAGTAATCTTTATGAGAAAAATCACAAACTAAAAATCATAAAAAAACTGGAAATCACTTTCGGAAAAAGAAATAATGAAACAAAGGGAAAAATATGTTTATCCTTTTTTAGTTTTATCCCGTAAAATCTGAGTATCCTTTATAAAAAAAAATTACAAACTAAAAATTAGACCAAAAACTAGAAAAATTACAAATTATAAGCTAAAAATAATGAGAAGCGAGAAATAACAGGTTTTCGAAAAAAAAAAAGACCAAATAACTACTCAAGGGGAAAGATACGTTTATCCAATGTCGAGGAAAATGTCTGGATAATTTTTATAAGAAATTATATATACATTTAAGAATGTAAACGTTCGACTAAAAAAATCGATCGGGTCAGAAAACGACGACGCTCCGGTAGAGCGAGACCGCACCGATCTCGCAGGCTCCTATCTTCTTTTACATCATCGTCATCCGTGTCCTACATCAACCTCGTGCATTCCGATAGACACAGAAAGTCTAAGATGGAACAGTCCTCGGAGATATCCGAACGAGTGCCTAGCGAAAGGAGTGCCCAGGTTATAGCCGGGGATTACCCGGCGTATCTCAACTGGCGTTGGAGGTTGGAGCCTCTCCCCCCACTCCCCCGCCCCTCACGCTCTTCCCAGCTCGCTTTCGGACATTGTGTGCAGTTGACCTAGGCACCGCCACGTGCTCACGCTTCTCCCCTCTGTTTGCCAGAGTCCCCCGACTCAGTCTCTCCTTCTCACGTCCTCTCTCGCTCGCTCTCGTTTCTCTTATCTTCCACCGAGATTAGCTCGCTGCGCAGTTTGCACGTACGCGCCTCTTCTCTCGTGCATCGTCGCGCAGCAGGAACAAAGGACGAAGGCACGAAGAAAACTCGTGGACGCGGCGAGAGAGAGAGAGAGAGAGAGAGAGAGAGAGAGACTGTTTGCCCGGTACAAATAGATCCCTCTTCTCTCCTCCTCCCTTCCCCGTAGCCAGCTCTTTTTCTCATACTTGATGATACGTCGTTAAATCGAAGCGACGTGCGATCGAAATTGCGCGCAACTTACGATAGGAGTTTCTGAATTTAAGTCCGAGTTTCATCTGGCGGTTTTGTCTGTGCGAAGGAAGTTGAAAAGCACGTAGTGCGGTTTGGAAGGTTAGTAATAGTTGGGGTTTGCCTGCGCAAAATTTCGAAAACCATTTCTGATGCATGCGCGTGTATCCTCTCATGTGTTTGCGTTGCATTCTTGCCTTTATGGAAATTAAAAAAATCAATGTTGCTTTTCATTTTCAAGCAGTAACAAACACAATTACAACACCTCTTTGTCAAATGCTGTCACTTACACTACAAAATATACACTGAAGTTCATTTTTAAATCAAATGGTTAGGGTTAGGTTAAGTAGCGTAAATACGTGTGCTGCAAATTTAGCAATAGGTTAGTTGACAAAAAGTGTTATTAGGAGATAAGAAGTAGGCTGGAAAGGGTAAAAGATGAGAAGAAAAAACAGGAGGAAGAAAGGGAAAAAATGAGAATCAAGGAAGGAAAGAAATGTAGAAGGGTTAAGTAAGTAGGACTATTTGAAGTTAGGTTAGATTAAGAAGAGGAAGAAGGGACGGAATAACGAGGAAGAGAAGATTAGACGAGAGAGACAGGTGAAAACAGAGAAAAACAAGGGAAATTGGCAACAGAGGGGGAGAGAGGTTACATGAAAAAAAGTAACCTTCAATTTCATTCAGTTACATTTATTTTAGTTGCATTTGTTTACATTGTAGTTATGTTGTCACTTGGTTATAAATTTATATTTCTTTCTTATTTATACATTTTAATTATAATTTATTTGTAAAAACTTTCCCTTCATTTATTTACGATGGATCGTGGGGGAGACTCGACCCACTCATCACCCATTTGACAGCACAAAGGTTGCAGCAATTCTGTGCTATATGAGTGTGAAACTACGCTCGACTATTCTCGCATCATTCCGCAATATATTTTCTAAGAATCGCAATGAAGAGAACAATATTCTGCATGTATCATCTTGTAGAGCGCAGGTGCCTCCTAACGTGCGGCAATGTTCGGACGAGTCCCCTGTCTCGTACGATAACTTCCCGGGGAACGAGTGCGTCGGTTATATTCTAGCGGCGGGCATGTCGAGGTAACTTTTGCATCTTGACATACAACGCATTAAAAATCGGTCGTGACTCTGTCCCTCATAACTTATAGCCGAGTAGCTATTTTAAGGTCCGCGATACATTCCGGGACTGTGCCACTGTTAGTGCGCGTTCCCGTCGCATTGCCTCTCCTTTAACCCTTTAACGCCCATTGGTAACCATAGTTATACCAGAAACGCATTTAAGAATCCATAATTTAGTCAAGAAAGGAGATATTTTCGTTCTCTTTGCACCTGCACTGTAAAGGTGAATTCTTCTTCTAAAAAATGGTATATAGAATGGTATATAAAAATGGTGGATTCGGTTTAGTCTGTTTTTAGCTCAGTTTTAATGATAACATGTTTTGTCAAATTCCAAGTAGGCATAGTTAGCATTGTTACTGACATCTAGAAGTGCATTATAAATGAGTAGATTGGTATCTGTTATAATTTTATACATTTGGAAGCTTTCTCAGATGCAAAATGTGAAATTAAAAGAATACAGAAATTCAAAATGGCGAATCCAATATGGTGGACACGGAAATCAAGGTATCAACGTATTTTCGTGAAACCTGGTGACCTACAGTTTTTTATGCGGCGAAAAATGAAGGAACGATTGACTATCTAAATGGTGATCTATAAGATATTCTTCTGAAATAGTAAGCTTGACGCTCTGAATAAACTGATAAACTTCATTACAATATAGTTCACTATCAACAAAATATAGTTCACAAACAAAGTTTCAGCTCAAAAATATCAAGCTGACTATCAGAGTTATGTCGTATTTAGATTACCCTTCATTTTTCTCTATATATGTTGCTCATTTCGTATTTTCGCTTTTAGGATCCAAGTCATATATACCAATAAACGAAAAACGAACGATAAAAAACCAATATAAAATTCTGATATTTTTTTTTGGTTATCATTACTTACAGTCTCAGATCAAAAAAACTCAAATTTTATTCTTAAAACACTTATAAAAAAGTCGGGCGTTACAGAGTTAACGGATGTCGCCAAGACGGACGAGGCAATGATGGCTGCGTATTTATTCGCCATTCTTGTTTATTCCCAGTGTACCTTCGACTGCGCGAATGTAAGGCGGTATCAAACCCAAATGCGTCCGAAGCTGCTTGGGCCAAGCTACTTGGGTGTCCTTTCATTCATTCACATCGCTCGATGTCCACTTCGAGTTAACTTGGATTATCAGTTGAATAATTTGCTTTATCGGTCGTTATCAAGATTATTAGAATTCTCACTGATCTCTTGGCTTCAGGACGACCTCAAGACATGTCTTTATGGATCAGCGAAGCTTGGCTTCGTTGGAAAGTACGAGCGTCATCTCGTAACGCTTCAAGAATATTTGTAATTTATTTTGTCGCTTATTACTAATATTTAAAAAAATATTTCACGCTTCTCTTTGAAAATTCTGCTCGACAAGACGATAAAATGATGTTTGTTTAATTCGAGTTTAATTCGGTAGATTGCGCTATCGATATTCGTCGTCGCGATGGATTCGTCAGGTACGCCGTGATATATGCCGTGATATGTTTGCGATCCAGAAAACGGACTATTTCGTGATCGGCTTGGATGCTCTACTCGGATTAGATGCCACGTGAGAAAACGTTCCGAGTGATTTAACGACGAGGCAGATTTATTTCGAATATAACGGAACAGCTTTCGGGAGGAACGGAATTATTTTCAGGCTCGCTGCGCGTCTTAATTTATAAGAGAGGCTCCAGGTCACACGTTGAAATATTCGACGAGACGATTTGTAAATTTTGCGAAAGGCCGCGAGGCGGCAATGCGCGCGCGTCTCGAGAGGGAGAGAGAGAGAGAGAGAGAGGGAGAGAAAAAAGAGCCTGTTTTATAAAAAGTTGCGTATACCCGCAAAAAATATCTGCACTTATTTATCGCCTCGTGTAAACAAAGCAGTCGTTCGTGTAACTTATATATCTGTTTCATCAACAACCGATATTCATCACATGGATTCCTGCCGAGCATTTCGGCGAACGTGTTTTTCATCCGCCATTTTGACCATGTGGACTTGCGTGCTGCCGCGTAACGCGTGATTATTCCGTGAGGATCAAATATCTCGCGAGCAAGTGAAGTGACGGGCACACAAGGATAAAAGTTGCGGCGCATGAAGGGTCAATGAGTGCCTTTCTAAACTTTAATGGGTATTACTTCGGCAGTCAAGGTGAAGCTAAACGTTTGCTGACTACCGCCGGCCGGGCTTGATGTACGCGCGGCGATCAAGGTCGCAGGACTATCTAATAGCGGCACCTAGTAGCGTGACCAAGGTCGACGAGCAGTGAATCTTTTTGGTGTATTGCGCACAAAGCGAAACACGAACGAGGCGTAATGCTTCCTCCGAATGTGATCGGGCGGAAATGACGAACGACCGAGTCAAACACCGCTGATCGATCGACCTCGCTCTCAGCTCCGCGATGAATTATGTTGACACAAAGAAAGTTATGAATCCGAAAATTTAGAAGGGAGAAGTGACAGAAGTGAGAATTCAAACGGAGAAGAACTACGGAGTCAAATCGACCGCTGCTCGGTTGACCTCGCTCTCGATTTCGCGATAAATTGCGTTGACAAAAAAAATTGTGAATTCAGAAATGTACAAGCAGAAGAATGCCTTTTGATGAATCATGTTCACAAAAGAAAGAAAATTATGAATCTGAAAATTTTGTAAAAAAAATGGCAGAATGTCGTTTGATGAATCACGTTTACGAAAAAAGGAAACTATGAACCTAAAAATTTTATAAAAGAAAATGGCAGAATGTCGTTTGATGAATCACGTTCACGAAAGAAGGAAGCTATGAATCTGAAAATTTTATTAAAAAAATGGCAGAATGTCGTTTAATGAATTACATTTACGAAAAAAGGAAACTATGAATCTAAAAATTTTATAAAAAAATATGACAGAATGTCGTTTGATGAATCACGTTCACAAAAAAGAAAATTATGAATCTGAAAACTTTGTAAAAAAAGAAAGAAACGACAGAATGTCATCTGATGAATTACGTTCATAAAAAGAAAAGGAGAAAGATCATGAACTCGAAAGTTTGGAAGAGAAAAAATGACAAAGACCCCTTAATTTCGCGGAAATCAGTTTCAACGCAGCATGTTCGTTTCACGTGCTAGTGTCGAGCTGTATGAAGACATTATCATATCGAAGCACGCTAAAAGTGTTGGAAAGTTGCCGTCAAATTTCGACGGCACTCACCGTCGACGTCTCGCCGCCGACGGCGGCTAACAGTCGGCAATAAGAGTCGGTTGAAAAACGCCTGTTCTCAGAACTGCGAGCTCTCCGTTGTAAAAGCGAAGAATATCGAACCGCCATGCCGCGTTATGCCGGGAGTGTAATAAATCGGTAGCGCCGCAAGATTTATGCCCGTGACGTGACAGCTCGCTAACTACCGCGCGAGGCTATCAAGAAATAGATAGCCGAAAAGTACACAGGAGAGGAGAGGAGAGGAGAGGAGAGGAGAGCGTCGCGCGCGCATATAAGAACAGATGTACTCTCGGGTCTGCTAAATAACTCTGTTTTCCCGTTTTCACATTCTCTTTTTTTTCCCCCTCCCCCCTTCCGTTCTCTCATAATCGTCATTTTATACTCGAGTGCTCGTGTCCGACGAAATCCCCGTCGATTTCCATATTCCACGATATGACAGTCCCAAGTTCGCGGTCAGGCAGTCCCACGCGCTTCGCATATTAATCCAGTTCGAGAAACATCAAGAGAAAAAAATTTCGCGCCATCTTTTTATTTCTCTCGACTTCATCCAGAGAGCTCCGCTGTAAAAACCTAACCTCCTTCGATACACATCTCGCGAGTTCAAGTTCCTCCAATACTCGCTCGTGAGAGATTCCTGCTGAGAACAAGTCTGAAACTACTCCCCCCCGTCTTCCCGCTTCCTTCTCCTCGCACACAATCGCACCTGTACTCCCGTTCCACGTCACCAAACTTGGGCCCAGGGGGCCCGGACGACTGCATACGCGCCTGCCTCCGCTCCCTTTACCGTCCGACTATTTTCTCTCTCTCTCTCTCTCTCGGGTCAACATCGCCGTAATGTTGACAATATTGTGCCGCCGACGCGCGTTTCCAACGACCCCCCGTAATTTCGCGCCGGGCGACGAGCATTTTGGCAGCGCTGCGCCGCGCCGTCCGGTCGTAATTTTGCGAGGCGAATTCCCGGAAACGCGAGCGTCGCCACGCCGCGCGAACGGCGTAATCGCCGCGGCGTTCTTTCGAACGCACGTGATCGGTAGTTCTTGCACGCGTACGCACTTAAGCGCGGAAGGATCCAGAATCCGCTGAACATGTGCGTGTGTGTGTGTGTGTGTGTGTGTGTGTGTGTGTGCGCGGCCGTTATATACGCGAGGCGTAACCCCTCGGGGTCAAATAGCTCGTCGAACACGATCCCTCTTCGACGGCCTCCACGTCGCTGACATCGTTTTTACACTCTGTGTCGCTCCGACGCGAGAGAGAGAGAGAGAGAGAGAGAGAGCACTCGCTCTCTCACGAGGAATACTCCGCAGCGATGTTCTTTTTCTCCAGCAATCGCATTCCGCGGATTCCTTGCCGTGATCATCGGTGGATCGACGGTCGCTGAAAGTTTTCGCTTTTCCGGCCGATTTCCCGGCCCCTTGCGCGCTTCTGCGCGCTCATCGAGCGTCGATTCATCCAGGGGGGATGATGGAAATTCTGTACCTTTTTCATCGCCGACAGGAGACAAATTTCATTTTTATCACCCACGCGAAGGAGTATTGAGAATTTTCACCGTGGAAATTTAATTTTCGTGCAGTGGAAATTCCACGCTGTCATGCTACGTATTATGTGCATTCAGTTTTCGAAATGGACGCAATCGAAATTCAATATTCATTATCCGCACAGTGGAGATTCCACTGTTTTCCTCGCAGAAATGCTATTGACGTTTTATTAACCCCCTCTTTATTGTGACGCGCGGACGATACGAACGAGCTGGCAAAATGCTCCTTTGGACACGTTCCCGCTTTCTGGATTAATCAGCAGCCATGCGAGTCGCGAACTACGCGTCTGGCCAAAAACCTTGAATTCATTAATTATCGACCGCTCGACGGAAACATCCGCGCGAGTTTACAAGATGGCCCGAGTGCTCTCCCTGCAAAATTCGCACGGCCGTTCCTGAAAACATTCGCAAAAGTTCAGCCGGGCGGATTATTATAAAAAGACATCAAAAGCATCCCAGCCTCTTTTACTTTAGTTTTCCTTTAGTTGAGGGCTCAGGACTTTTGTTTCGCGCAGGAAAGCAGGAGGTACGTGCTCTCTCCGACTCTCCTTTTTCTCGCTCGCTCGAACCCGAGGAATAATATCCGGGGAATAATTTCTAGATCGCTATCGCGAGCCACGGTTTGTTACGCAAAAGTCGGAAAAGTCGCAACATGTAACGCACCCGCGCTTTTCGATCGCCCCCCCCTCCCTCCCCCCGGTTCCTTCCGCCTCCCTGAAAGCGCGAACGCTCTAGAAAGCGAGCGAGAACGGCGCGGCTCGGCGCGACCGACGCGCCGTAACGTCTGCTCATTAATCGCGCGTTGGAAGAAACGAAATCCAGGTCAGACGTGAGCCTCCTCCGTGTTAATCAACCGCGCGCGACAATCCCCGTGCGCTTTCTTATCGTTTTCGTCTCGCCGGGACTTTAAGCCTTTTCTACACCGGACGAAGCAGCGAGAGACGAGAGAGCAAAGAATGAGGCATTCGCTGGATCAGCGCGCGTTTAGCGGACGATCTCGATCTTGATCTTACGATTAATTTTTCAGCCTGGTTTAGTGTTTAGTTTATTGTTCTCTAACAAAGAGAGATATCGAAGGGCCTGATGAGAGTTATCAGTAGGTAGATAAGAGCGACGGTTCGATATTGGGCGTGATAATCAAAACCCTTGCGGAAGAAAAAATTATTATTATTGTTGTTGTTGTTGTTGTTGTTGTTGTTGTTGTTGTTACTGATGGCACAGACCCGGTAAAAATGAAAGAAATCAGAAAGAAAGATAAAAGAACCATGGAGGAAAAAAGAATTTAAATCCCAACGGAAGAGAAAATTGTTGTCGCTGTTATGTTGCCTCTGTGTTATTGCTATTTATATTTCTGTTAATGTCTATTGCTGTTATTGCAATTATTTTCCTCCCCCTCTTCTCCTGGTCTAATATAGCGTGGTGCGGTGATGGGCAATCTCGACTCGATCTTCGGAAAATCGGTTTCTTTGTCTCCTTCTGTGCAATTTCTCTGTTCACTTCTTCCCACAGAGAATTGATTCTCGATCCGCTGACGTTCTTATTCGCCAGCGTTGTTTCGCTTAACGGAGAATCCAACCGGGGTCAATGCCCGGCAAAATCGCTTTGTAGAAAGAAAAAATCGAAAGAATCGACCTCTCGGAGGGAAGGATCGATTTTCTGAAAATCGAGTCGAGATCGCCCGTCACTGGCTTGGTGTACGTAATTATTTGGTCCGTTTGTAAAATTGCACGGCAGGAGGGGGAGGAGCGAAAGAAAGCTGCGGGAGGGGAGGGGGTCGGATGGAGCTGCTAATTAATCTGACCCAATTGACATTGAGGTTGGCATGAGAGGGAGGGAGGGAGGGGGTGAGGGACGCCAGTTCTCGGGGCGTGCGTCGTAAAATAGTCTTTATGCCGGCGGGCGCTCGTTTCCGCGGACGTTGTGCGTGCACGCGCGGCCGCAGTCAGGATTTCCTCGCGATAAATCCGCGGGCGTCGCAAGTTTTGGACGGCCGCCAAGCACCACCGGCTCCTCTCCGTGTCGTCGTTGCGGTCGCTGGACCAGTTTCTTTATCCGGTGTACGGCGCGCGTGGCGGATTTCGAAACGACCGGTTCTCCTTCCACGAATCCGCGCTTGCTTTTCGAGACGACCGAAATAAAGCGAGCCGCGCGCGCGCGCGCGCGCGCGCTCGCTCGCTCGCTCGCGATATCCTTGCGGGGTTTACGATCCTGCCTTACGCCGCGCGGCCGGCGCGGCTCTTAAAAGTGGCACGACGCTGCCCGAAAATGCGCGCACACTCCGGACTACCCTGTAACTCAGAAGACCCGTGAAAAGGAGAGAGCGTGCGAGGAACGCCAACGCGAGGACGACGTTTCAGGCTTGCAGTCGCGCGCGGACTTTGCATCTCGCATTTCCAAAAGCGCCGTGCCAGGCGAGTAAAGTTAAGCGCCCGAGGCCGACCGTTCCCTGACATTGGTCGCTTCAGCTAAAGCTTCTCGCTTCCACGAGAACGATCGAGTTGAAACAGACTTGTCGGGACGAAGCCGAAGCACTCACCGGCCAGCGAACGAGGAGTAATCGCTGTCGCAGGTGAATTAACGCAACAACGGCAGCCGCTACGGAGAATTATAATATATCGTTCATGATGGCGCGGGTGATCGGAAACTATACTGTGCAGCAGTTCCAGCTCGTTTCGAGCCTTCTCCGGCCTTCTCCGGCCCCCCAAACTTCGGCTCCGAGCGGAATTATTTATTCGCCCTCGCGGGAATTGTGTATTTCCGCGGAGAATTCTCGCGGGGCGCGGGGCGAAGGGGAGAGGCAGCGTGCTCGCCGGTCGCACGGGAGCGAAATCTCCCTTGTCTCTAGATTCTCCCT